GTCTCGAGCGCACCGCGTCAGTTACACGAGAGCCTCGGGCGAGTGTGGACGTGTTGTTTAGTTAAAGTGCGTGCCGAGCCTGTGTTACACTACAGTGGTTAGATAATTTAAAATTAAAAATTTTGTACAGCCGACTTCAATATAAGTTATTTAAGAATAACTTAAAAACTATTGGCCTGACCTTGATCAAATTCATATGGGACCACACGAGAAGTACCAGCTTTCAAATAAAAAAAGAATCATCGAAATCGGTTCACCCAGAAAAAAGTTCTGAGGTAACACACATAAAAAAAAAAACGAAAAAAAAAAAAACATACAGTCGAATTGAGTACCGGCTCCTTTTTGGAAGTCGGCAGAAAAGATAGCAGACATTACAATGCCTATAGAATATGCAGTATTACTCAAACACTGCCTCACATCTGGTTATCTATTCTGAAAGGAGGAATTCTACAAGCGAGTAGATGATGTAGAAATGGGCTCACCTGTATCTCCCACAGTTGCCGACATATTCAAGGAGGACTTTGAGAAGAAAGCCCTTCTTACTGATTCTGTAAATCCAAGATTCTACAGTTCTCAGAGCACTCCCTGTGGTAGATGCGTAAAAACGCAAAGAAATGCAATATTTCTTCTCAGCGCCAGTGAATAGAGCCGATCGGAAATGACTCGGTCGTCGACGATTCGAGCCGCTCTGCCCTGGATGCCGTCAAGTGGAAGGAGCTGGCACTGAGGAGCCCAGCCCAGAGATGGGAACAGTATTTCATGTGAGGCCGAACCTGCGCCTTGTTAAGTTGCAGGTGGTGTACCGGCATAAAATATTGTCCCGCTCTGCTGTCATTCGATATTTGAACGCCGAGGACGCCGATACTGGCTGAGGCAAAAAGGGGAGTGCCTCAAAACTGAGGAGATGCGACAAAAGGTTTTTTAGCGGTAAATACGTAAACTTGTGTCTTCTGAGGGTTAAACTGGACTAAATTTAGTCGCCCTCAATCCGACACTTTGTTTAGCAAAGACTCGACTTCAGGCACAAGTTTGTTCCGATACTCGGTGACGTTTTCCCGAGAAATAGTGGCGCGGCTGATGTATAGAGCATTACCAGTGCTGTCATCTGCATACCTATCAATGTTACGGGTTTGCAACAAATCATCGATATGTAGAAAAAAATAGCGTTGGTGATATCACGCAGCCTTGTGGAACACCAACGTTAATAAATGGCTTATAATCGGAGCATGCACCATCTACTACCCGTGATGAGACGTGGTAGCTCAGATGGTTAGCGTACAGTAAGCTTCACAGTATTTGAAAAACCCGGGTTCGATCCCCGCCGGCACCAATGAAATTGTTAATTGCAATTTTAAGTGCTGATTTACCACGTGCTCGGCAGTGAAGTAAAACATCGCCAGGAAACCTGCATGTCTGAGAAATAAGAAAAAAATATTTCGAAAACATGTGAAGTTCGCCAATACGCATTGGGGCAGCGCGGCGGACATTTCCTTGCCCTAAAACCCTCTCGGAAATAAGAGGAGGCCTGTGCCCAGCAGTGGGACGTAAATAGGCTGCTACTTTACTTTACTTACCATCTACTACGACCTTGACGTTCCAATCAGCCATAAAACTGGTGATCCATTTGCACTTTTTCTCGGAAAGCCCATAGGAAGGAAGGTTCGAAAGAAGCGTTTTGTGCCAGACCCGATCGAAGACCTTCGCTATTTCCAAACTAACGGGCAATAGGGCCTCCCCCTTGGACTCGATCGCCTGCGTCCATCTATGCGTTAGGTAAACAAGAAGATCACCAGCTGAGCAACCCCTAATTAAACCGTATTAACGGTCACTAATTAGCTGGTGCTCCTAGAGGTACAGCATGAGCTGACAGTTTATAATGGACTAAATTATGTTCGAGAACAATGAGGTGATGGCGATAGGCCTGTAGTTGTACAGATTAGAGCGGTTACCTTTTTAGGGTTCGGGTGCAAGAAAGCTGTCTTCCATGAATTCGGAACAATGCCTAGAGAGTAGGAGTACAGGAAAAGGCGCGTTAAAAGTCACAAAATATCTTCATCAGGCCCGTGACCATGGACTGCTGTAAAGCACACGAATCGTCGGGAATGTACATAGTTTTATTCAACAGTAAGAATATACAATGTTAAAAATTTTAATTTCACTAAACAAAACAAAGACTAATAAGTATGATGTATTATCTGCTATAATTGCATATTATCTCTATATGTGTATATTTGTAGTAGTAGTGAAAGCAAAAACCTTCCAGATCTGGGTTCACTTTTCAGATATTTAAAAATTTATTGAAATACGGCAAATAACCACTATATTACAAACTATGTAAAGTGTGGAGATTAAACTGATAAAAAATACCATTTCAAAAGATATTATTATTTGGAATTACATATTAAATTTATTCAATAATACAAATTAAAAACAAACTCACTTGATGGACTTATCATTTTAAAGTTAAAGTTATAGGCTATGTACGTTGCATTGCTGGACACAGACCTCCTCTCAATTCTGAGAGGGTTTTAAGGCAAGAAAATGTTCGCCACGCTACCCCAATGTAAAGTTCACATGTCTTCGAATTTTTTTCCTTATTTTCAGACATGCAGGTTTCCTCACGATGTTTACCTTTACCACCGAGCACTGAGGCAATTGAAATTAACACTATTTATGATGTCGTTGGTAAGAGAACACGAGTACTGTAAAATATATGGCCAGCGTTCAACCCCTAAGCTACGACGACACGTACCACTACAGAAGAGGGGTTATGTTTCTAAGTGCAGACATGTCTGTTTCTTAGTGATCCGCACCGCGGTAGTTTACCGACTTAACGAATTTCGATGTTCTTACTGTCGCTAGATTCACCTTCATCTTTGTAAATGCATAAACTACATTTTACGGTAGTAATACTCGTATCAGTACAAGTAGCTGACAACCGACTGGGAAGAAAGGTTCTGAAGTTGCAGCCTCGTACTGATAATCGAAGTGCATGGGGGCTCCACGCTAGGTGAAGAGGGTCAGACCATATAATAATAATGTCCTCCAGACCGATTTCGGTCACGGCGGCCAGTCTAAACGCTGACAATAAATCATCACTAAGTGCACGCTCTATTCTCTCTTATAGTACGATGAGCTGGTAATACGACACGACCAGAGTGACATCAGGTGCAGGATGATAAGTAAATAATAAGACTACGGCTTTACGTGCTCTTCAAGGCACAGGTTGAAACATCGTCAAATTTCATGCTGCTACTGAGAATTGCTTGAGAGAAAAACCCAATAGCTGATTTTGGCCTGGATTTGCACCCAGAACGTCACGATGAGAAATTATATTTACAATCACTAGACCAACGAGTCTACTGACTCTTATTTTTTAATTACTATTCTGCCCATGTGCATGAGCTGCAGTTGTCAATATCGATCAGGAGGATTGCAAGCTCAAATGTTCTCACAAATTTTTGTACTTATTCAATATCTAAGCAACCATTTACATATATTTTTAACAATCTATATTCTTTTCTTAATAAAGATTAAGGATATTGCGGAGTCACTGCCATAATTAATGTACGGCATACAATATCGTACGGCTAAGATAATATTCATAGAATAGAGAAGATGAACAAAGTTAGAACATATTGACGCTAGTCTAGACCTTATGTTTCACAATTTACTATTTAATTACTATAGTCGAACGGTGTTTGTAATTTCCAAGCCTCCACGAACAGAAAGCATATAAATATTTATGAGCTTTAACCAAAGTTATAAAATTAACTATAGTAGTAATATAATATTTTGTTTCTAATCAAAATTTATCTGTAACATAGTTTAAAACTATGATTAGTATATTTGGCGTATTCGTGGTGTTCATTTAGTTTTTTAAGATCATCTAATCTTCTTTTCTCTCGACTTAAGTGGTCCATCTCTTTATAACAACGGGGTGAAGACATAAGCTGAGAGTCTTAATGTTCGATGTTTGAAAAGAGAAGACATTTAGTCATAAATGTTCATGTTAATTCATAATAGAAGTCCCAATTTCCATGTATTTAAATTTTATCTTATAGTTGCATTTTCATCAGTTCATAAGCACCAGATATCTCAGATATTTGACACTGTTGTCGTTGGTGTTAGGATCATTTGACTGTAAATATGTAGTGGAGTTGTTATAGCGTCAGAGTCTGTGTTCTCATCTTAAGCTTCATAGTACGCGAGTAATTTCCGCCGGTATCACTAACATTATTAGTCGCATATTAACTTATTCTTTTAAAACTTAATTTCTGCTGAGAAAAAATGGTAGGTAAATAATAGGTTAAGAAATAAAATTCAAACTAAAAATTGTAAAAATCGCAAAATATTAACAGCAATACTTAAAAAAACACTTTCTCTAAAATAAGAGAAGGCCTATGCACGGGAATGAAATATATTTGGCTGTTGACTTATTTTTTTTAAAAGTCGGTACACCACGGCATGGTGGTGGTGTAAGAGTATCAAACAGCATATAACATCGGAAATTCTGAAAATGTTTGTGGAATCTCGTTGGTATTAAAGTTGAATTTTTTTCGTTGAACGTTGGGTCTGCCTGCTATCCTAGCTTTAAAGCTTTACCATTAAAGCTTTACCTAACTATACACTCATCGTATAAGCGGCTAGCATAAGGCGAATAGAACCGTACAAATTCGACTTATATCTATGTACCTATACAGTAAAACTGTAAAAATATGTGAAATAGATGTGGCGTAAGAGTATCCAAAACCCGTTTCATTCCATCCGTTTCAGTTCGTCGTGAGAAGCGACTATGGAAATTACCAGAAATATCTTAGGCTTTCGATATATGGTGCTATAGCCAACTTGTTTATGCCAAGCTTATCCTGTTCAACATGGCGATGGACGTAATTCTTGCTTCTCTACCGAAAGAGGTAGGCTATAGGCTGGAAATGGAGCGAGTCTCGGCTCTGGCCTATGCCGATGACCTAGTCCTGCTTGCAGGCTCAAAGGTAGGGATGCAGGAGTCCATTGACTGTGTGTTCGAGGTGGCGTCGTCGATGGGCCTCACGGTCAATCATACCAAGAGCTCCGTCTTGTCGATGGTGCCTGACGGGAAGCGCAAGAAACACCACTATCTGACCGGAAGGAATTTCCGGATAGGTCGGAAGTGGTTGCCACAAACCTCTTGCGTGGAACGCTGGCGCTATCTTGGCATCGACTTCCATGCGTCTGGATGCGTGACGTTAGAGCATGATATCAAAGTTGCCTTGACCAACATCTCAAAGGCACCCCTCAAGCCGCAGCAGCGGCTCGAAATTGTGAGGGGACACCTTATTCCGAGATTTTTGCACGGCCTTGTGCTGGGTAATATCTCGGATGATAGGTTGTGCATGCTCGACGTCCAGATCCGGGGTGCGGTTAGGACTTGGCTGAGGCTCCCGATGGACGTGCCTATCGGGTACTTTCATGCCAACATCAAGGATGGCGGCCTAGCTATCCCATCGCTTCGAGCGAGCATCCCGGACCTCATACTAAAGAGGTTCGGGCGGCTTGGCTCGTCGAGTTGGTCAGTGGCAAAGGCCGCCGCCAGATCCGAAAGGATCCGAAAGAAGTTGAGCTGGGCCGATAAGCAATTCCGAAAGTTCACCAGAGAGGATCCGGTCACGGGCCTTAGGTCCGTCTCACGGTTTTGGCGCGAGAGGCTGTGGAGCTCAGTGGACAGGTTCGAGTTACGCGAATCCGCCCGCACTCCCGCGTCCACGAAGTGGATTCGGAAGGAGTCTTCACATGTCTCTGGTCGGGACTTCGTGCAGTTCGTCCACACACACATTAATGCCCTCCCGTCACGGGTTCGGACATCCAGAGGGCGCAGGATTGGTCGTGAGGCGGAGTTGAACTGCCGCGCCGGGTGCGTGGTTAGGGAGACGACGGCTCACACCATCCAGCAATGTTGGCGGACGCACGGGGGCCGGATAATGCGCCACGACCGTGTAGTGAAGTTAGTAGCAGACGCGATGGCTTCAGACCAATGGTCGGTGGTGACGGAACCTCATGTCAAGACCTCGAAAGGCCTTCGGAAGCCCGACATAGTAGCCGCTAAAGGGGGCGTCGGAGTGATCGTGGACGTGCAGGTAGTCTCGGGCCAGCGGCCTCTCGATGATGCTCACCGTGAGAAACGTAGTAAATACGGGATTCACGAGGAGCTAGTCGAGAAGGTCGCAGGTATACTAGGACTACCTAGCAAGGATTGTGTCCGCGCGACCTCTTGTACGATCTCCTGGCGAGGTGTTTGGAGTCACTTCTCCTATAAGGAGTTGAAAAGACTTCTAGGGCTGAAGGAGAGTATGTTCAAAGCTATACCGGTGGTGGTATTGCGCGGTTCGCATATGAACTGGACACGTTTCAATCGGATGACCGGGACTGGGATTGGTGGCCCAGTGTGAGTGCTCGGGGTCCTGTGGACTCCTGGGCTGATGCCGAGCCCTTGGTGATCGTGGCCCTGCGCCTTCGATGGCATTTAAAGACCAATCTCCCCAGACATCGAGCGACCGCCTGTGCAACAGCAATCGGCAAAATGCTGATCTGCCAAGCCTCTTAGACGGGAGATGGGGACTTGTGGCGTCTCTCGTGGCAGCCATAATGATTAGTGATTACGTTCACTAAGACGATGGCATGATGATCGGCGGAAATACCCAAACAGGCGATGGGCAACAGCTTCAAAGGTGCGAGACGTCTAGTACTGCGATCGTCAATGCGCCAAGATAAGAGGCAAATTACCAGAAGTCGACTCTTACGGGCAAGAAGAATCAAATGCTTTAACAAAAACTGAATTGATTAATTTTAAGAGGAGAATCATTGTTTTTGAGATAAAATTAAAATGTTTTGCCTGTTGAATAGATATGGAAGTGTATCTTAAAATAATTTATAATTAAATTGCATTTACTTAAAATGTGATTGACCCTAAGGCAATTATTACTAACAAACTTCTAACGTTCTGTGTGGTAACTGAAGTTGACAAGCTAATTAATGTGAAAGTACGGCTATAAATGAATTAAAAGTGAAGTAAAAGCGAAAATGCTAGCAGTTAATTATAATGTCAATAATATTATTTGTATTACATAGATTTCATATTTCGTAAAATTTAATTACCTGTTTCATATTTTTCCATAATGTCATTGGTATTATACACTGTATATCATTTAGGCAACGCCATATATACAGGGTATTTTTGGAACGCTCCCGAAAACTAAGACAGGCGACAGCACCAAGTATACCTTTGATCATGGGTCATAAATAAATTTGATCCTGATGAAAAAAAAACATATTTTTACAACGTTTTATTAGCTTTATTCACGCGCCATCATGTTAGTACAGCTAAATGAAACGATAATTTCATAAAAAAAAATCATGAAAATACTGAAACATAAAACCAGCAGTGGAAACTGAATTGATATCACCTGACTAATGGTTAATGTACGCGTGAACGGTGAAAAAAGAACGCTGGCCTTGAACTTGGGCACTGAGCGATTTATCACATATTGGCCAGTATTACTGTGCCTGCATGCTATTGGTTCCCGCGCTTTGTTCGCTCCAAAAATACAGTCGCATACACAGCTTACTTTGCGACTCGCGACGATGTTTTAAAAAGGAAGGAAAAAAAATTATTTATATCTATTGTTTTATGACTAAACTAGTGAACGAAAAGGTAAATATGATAGGACAAGGTGAATGGGGAAAATTGTGCAGTAAAGTTAAAATTGTTGAGGAAGAATACCGAAAAAATTAACATTTGATCGACCTGATGACGGAAGCTCAAGCGAAGATGAAAGTGATGATGAAGTAGCATCCAGTAACACCAACACACCATCAACATCTGGCTTCCATGTGACCCAAGACGTCATAATGGACGGCGTGTCACCCTTAGCTTAAGTTTTTTTGTTACAAACTACTTTATATTTTACGATAGAAATAACAAACAATGCTCAAGTAAACATTATCTATTTTTAATTCCCACCTCTTCCAAAGTTCTAAGTAGCTAGTAAAACACCTATTATGATTCTACAATAAAACAATTAATTACTATAATATTATAAAACAATAGCCCAATACCATGTAGTACTTTGGAACGCGACTGTACCCACACTCACTCCGCTGTCGACCTGTATCTAGCTCGGTATGAAACAATGCTGCGGTCATAAGAAAAAAGGGCGCATCTAACAATTTTCGAATAAATTACCATTCGACTCATGATAAGAAGACGCATCTACTAAATTTTTTTAATATTCACTAATATCAATATTTTAGAAATTATCGTCAGAATTTTAGACGTAGCTGTTGATCACAGATGACATTTTATTAGTAGAAAAGACTTATACAAATTCAACATAAAAGAAAAGACTTATTTAACCAGTTGCTACGTCATCTTTAACAATATTTGCATCGATTACTTAAATTTAAATTATTCTTGTCTTATTATTTTATATCTTATTATTAAGAGCTCATATCTTATTATTAAGAGCTGGTGTTTCACATGTGGTCCCATATAAATTTGATCGAGGTCAGACCAATAGTTTTTGAGTTATCCTTAATTATTTTATATTAAAGTCGATTGTACAAATGTTTTAATTTTTAATTATTATCGTAGTAAGTCTTGTATGATATCCCCTTTAAAATCATTACTCAAGAGTTGCGGGTTGTTATTTTTTGTGTCTCACTACCAATGCTTTTCTAATTTCTGCTATTTACTAAGAAAAAAGTAGTAAATTACTATTAGCGTCCTTTCAACTTCAAATGACCTTTCCAAAATATGTAAAAATGTTAAATGAATGGTAGTTTTGTTTTATTTATTAGGTTGGGAAGACCCATAGTTATATGCGTCTTTCCTTCGATGTTTTTGTGTTGCCAGGTGTACTTTTTTAATCTAAGATGAAAAGGAAAATTCGTTTTATTTAAATAAATAAACAAATTTAAAAAAAAAAATAAGTTCGTCCTTAAAATCTTCATGTCTCTACGTATATATTTCAATATAGATACCTTTTAATATACTTTAGACACGGGGTCTGAAAGAAAAATTCATCAATTTATTTTTTATTTCCATTTTACGTTTTTGTTAGTTACTTCCTTTTTTATTATGACGGCAGAATGCCTAACCCTGTCGCCTCACGCTTGTGACGCAGTAGGTTTCAGCCTTGACGGGGTTCGTTCGTTTTAGTTTTTGAGACAGTTCCGTGTTGATTTTGTACACGCGTGCGCGAGCGACAGTTCAATCGTTTTGTTTAATAAATTTACTTGTGATTACGTGTTGATATTAAAGTTTGTGTTACGTTTTTGGATTCTTTTTTGTTTCAATAATGCCTAACGCGTACGTTTATAGTGGTCAACATGTTAGGTATCCGAACCTAGGTACACGAAGTATCGCTAAATAAATTGTTAAGACGTCGGGATGGAACAAGTGTGTCATACTGTGCAGTGCACAAAGTGTTGAAGCGTAATCAATGCGCCCATACAAATTGCACAAAGTGCAAGCTTTAGTTCCCGGCGATCACGACCGCCGACGAGTTTTCTGCCGTTGGTTATTATACCAGCAACAACGTGTGCCTGGTTCCATTGAGCACATTATCTGGACGGATGAGTCGACATTTACCAGAAACGGCCTGTGGAACCGAAGAAATACACACGTGTATTCAGAGGTTAACCCGCACGCTGTTCGACAAACCGGGCACCAAACCCGATGGTCGGTTAACGTATGGGCAGGTTTATTTAAGGATCGCATACTGGGACCAGTGTTTCTGCCAGAGCGACTGAACGGACAGCGATACCTAAACTTTATAAATGAACAGTTGGTTGACATTTTAAACGACCTATCGTTGGCTGAATATCGCCGCACATAGTTCCAACATGATGGTGCCCCTCCACATTTCGTGAGGTTCGTCCGTGAGCGCCTCAATGAGCTATTTGATGATCGCTGGATCGGCAGACTAGGACCACACGCTTGCCCACCTCGCTCACCAGATCCGACTCCGTTAGACTTCTTTTTGTGGGGTATGTGAAAGAAAGGGTTTTTAATCGTGAATGTGATAGTGCTGAAGAAATGCGCCAAAGGATCGTGGATGTTTTCGAGAAACTACGTACGGACTGTGTCGAAGACCACACGATGATGCCCCGCCTGCACCCAAATCTGCCTTGAAATGAATGGAGCTCAATTTGAGCCGCATCTCATAAGACCACGGAGGATTTAGAGCAGTAAGCTGTTTCATAACTATTTTTTTTTAATAACTTAGTACTAGACTAATCTGAATAGGTACATAACTGAATACATGAGAAAAATAAACATACCTACACGATGAATAAAAACGCATGACTCCAACCTTGGTTACATTTCATTTAAGTATTTCTTCATTAGCGGGGAATCGAACCAGTTATTTGGGTTATTTAACCTGTAAATTCAGATTAACGTGGCTACGTGGAGATAAGCACAGTGGCAAAATAGTAGGTTAAGTAGATAAGTTAGGTATTTAGACACGTGTTGTAAATTATTATATTGTGGGATGGCCCGCTAGTTGCGGGCCGCGCGAATTTGTGTTCGCGCGTACATTGACCTTTATCTAGCTCAGGTCAGGTGATATCAATTCAGTCATTCCACTGCTGGTTTTATGTTTCAGTATTTTCATGATATTTTTTATGAAATTATCGTTTCATTTAGCTGTACTAACATGATGGCGCGTGAATAAAGCTAATAAAACCTTGTAAAAAGATGATTTTTTTTTCATCAGGATCGAATTTATTTGTAACCCATGATCAAAGGTATACTTGGTGTAGTCGCCTGTCTTAGTTTTCGGGAGCGTTCCAAAAACACCCTGTATAACGCCGATTATTTAGAATGTAGTCCACATACAGTGAACCTAGCAAATGAATTTATATATATATATATATATATATATATTAAAATTTAATATTATTTTGTATTTAAACATAAAGAAATAACTTTACTTCGGAAAACTCAGGAATAATTTTTTTAAATTAAATTAAAATAATTTTTAATTTGCGTATTGTATGTGATTTTGTTACCCCTGCCTGCTTTAAAGATGCGAGTGTCAGTTAGAGGTAATAAAACTACATACAAATCATCATCATCATCATTACAGCCCTTCACAATACCAGAACATAGGCCTCCCCCAAAGAATGCCACAAAGCACGGTCCTGACCTACCTGCATCCATCGAATTCCTGCATGTCATTTAAACGGATTAGACAAGACTTATTTTGGGAGAAATGTATGTCAAAGCACAACGCTATTTATATCCTAATCACTATAAGATAGGCTGAAAAACATACATAATTAAATTATTAGCCTAGAAAAATCCCACAATTTCTTCTTCTTCTACTATTTAATAATAATGTTGAGTCCTCATTATTAGAGCGTCTTTTGACGAATTTAGAGTTTTTTTTTTTATATTTCTCAGACATCATAATATTTTGTTCTACAATCAGAGCATCGGTATTGACGATTTCAGTAATGTCGTTTTCGCTTTTTACGTTCTATGAATCTACGAACTGCCACACAATTTAATAATTCTTGCTTGGTTTATGAACTTGATAATACGCATCCATCTAATAAATAAGTTACTGCTGTCTGTAACTAGTTATTACCACAATATTACATTAACCAATCGGATGATTTTTTGATCAACCTTGAAAGTAAAACATAAACACGTCTGCTATAAAAATAAAAGTAATGTCTTCATTTACATTTAACACACTTACAAATTACTATGAATCGAGCTGAATGAGAAACTTAATTTAATGTTGAAGAAATCACGCTATATAACAAGTATGATTTTTTAGGTGCCCGTTTTTATTTTCCAATAGTTATAGCTGTCTGTAACTTATCTAACAAAAGGTAAGTGCAAAAAGTTTTATTAACTCGTAGTACATGAAAACGTTCTGCATAAACTGCATTTATTTACATAGCTGTACAATAATGTCTTTTTTATTTTCTTTTTTTTTTCTGTGGCAATCCCGGTGACAAGTTGTAAAATAATTGCTTCCAAATGTTTAAAAAATATATATTGTAATTTGATAATATCCACTTCAATTTTGAGTTTTTGTTTAATACGACTTAATTGTATTAAATAGTGTTTAAGATCTCAACTAAAAGTGACAGCAGTAACGAACATCGTTTAGAAATACTGTAAGTGTCATTCTTGTTATACCTTTAACATTTTAAGATTTACCTTATAATCAAGGGTTGTTTTGGATTTGATTTTGAATTATTTACCTGATAATTTAATTTGATATGTATAAAACCCATAGAGAGACATTTGCTTACTTTGCTTCTTCAGTTGTCTTTGTCTATTTACACTTAATATTTAATTGAATACACGCAAAGCTAAGATACGCCAAATGTAGAACTAACTTCGAATGGCGCTTCAAGAACTTAATGCGTCAAAGAAGTAGTGTGAGCATTGATACAGAAAAGGTAAATAAATACCTTTTCATTGTCATTTTCCGTTTCTTAGTAGTAATAGACTGGACATCAGCAACAAAATAGTCACCTCTTACTTATGTCCTATAAGATATATTTCGGGGTTTTTTTTATAGGATCGGGTGACAAGCGAGCACACAGTCCAAATGATGGTAAGTGGTTGCTATGGCCCATAGACATCTACATTTGTCCTCGTTTGCGAATCAAAATGCAGATGCGTTGTCATCCGTGAGGACTAAGATGGAATGCCTCTTTTTCAGTAAAAAGGGTCTCCGGTTCTCTACACTCACCATACGAAACACAGCAGTGGCTGCTATTTTACGCTGGTATTCTGTGAGAGCGTGGTCCTTCCCCGGTCGAGCCGACCCATTCGTGGTATAACTATACTACATAATATGGCTGCAGCATGGCTCTACCACGGGTTTGTGTCATTTAGTCTTAGTGACATCGTCAAAAGCTCAAAACGCATTACTTTCCCAAATTAAAAAAAATATTTTTAAAGAACATATGCCCGATAGTGCATTAAGGTATTGTAAGTCCCGATATGTTGCAAAAACTGAAGGTGATTTCGGTTTATTATCGCAAGTTTAATCTACATTTATCCCATAATTTTTAAATTTTATTATATCTGGTAGAATGTTCTAGAACATTTATCATCGTTGTAATAAGCGCCCTCTGTTATCTAGTAACACACCAAATGAGTTAGTGATTGACAAAGTTTATCCATTGGTGTTTTCGATAAAAAATATTATACAGGATGCAGATTTAAACATCTACAATATTTAAAGAGGTGAAACAGTAAACTATACTGTATCCATACCAATAAAGAAATGGTGTGGGCCTATGTAGAGGCACATGGCCGTTGGTTTTAACGTGAAACGTCTATGTCAGCCAGTACAACCAGTACAAATGGTCAACAATATATTAAAATTTTAAAAAGAAGGCTATCCTCTTTTTAAAATTTTAATATAATTCTACAACACTCGGAAAACTCCAGATACGTTGCCTACCTTTTGAAACGGAGTAAGCTCGTTTTTGAAGATCCATAAGTCCTATGGATCCTATGGATAAAAATCGCCGATGGTAAACGATTCCTAAGAAAACTCCTATTAAATCGCACAATAGTGGACCGCCTAGCATTCAAATGATGTGGATGATTAAACTAAAGTGATCAGCTTCAGGGAACAGTTGATGATTTTGAACAATGCAGCAATGAATACGAGGAATCTCCCAGATTAATTGCTGCATTGTAGTTACAGTTAAGTAAAGCTAATGAGTAGTTTAAGAACTTAAAAGCGTCCCAAACTCAAAGTCTGTTTAATAAGCTCTTAAAATGTAAATCTTCTAAAACATAGTAACACTATACAATAATCAATTTGCTTGGTGATCATTTTGTCACATCAAGAACAGCAGAAAGGATTACTTGCAGTAGCAGAAAATGAAAGAAATACATAAATATTAATAAATATGATAGGAAAGTGCAAAAGTTAATAGAAACTAAAATTAATACTTAAAAATATATAAATGTTTTGAACGTCGAAACGTCGGGAATTAATAAAAATAAGCAATATAATTTAATTAAACGCGATAGAATCCGTAAAAGTAGTTTTATTCAAAGTGTAATGTTCGCGTAAATATAAGAAATATATATATAAATATAAATAAATTATATTTAATTGAGGTGGAAAATATTAAAAACTATTAGGACACTGAAATAGAGTGTCTAAATTGTACATAAGCGCTGGCTTAGCAGAATATAAAAAATATTCAGAAATTTTATCACCTAAAACTCCCTGCAAATTATATCAAATAAATATGCATCCGCTCAGGATGAGATAAAAAACATATTGGCCATGAATTATCTGTTCAAGTCGTGTTAATATAACGAGGAGCGCTTTGACTCCTTAATAAAATATCAAAGCCCAGGTTCATCAAGGACAGTTTGTGTCAATAATAATGTAAGCAGCAATGACTCATTATTTTCACCTACCTGAGAGCACCACGATAAAAAATATAAACTTAAAAAGTAATTTAAATATTAAAAAAAATAAACTTAATATTTATTGTGATGACATAGGCAATCATTTGGGCACGATGTTAAATAACTATTTAAAAGAACAGCTTATTAGTAAATTATTGCTTGCCTGGAGCTCCCTATAGTCACGTAATGAATAAATTTTAACTAGTAAATTTTGCCCTAAGAGCAAAATAATACTTCTTGCTGAAAGAAGAGGCAATATACACAACAAACTTTAAATGTACATAAAATTATCTTGTTCATTACATTGGCTTACAGTTGGCCACAGGAAAATAAAATAAGTTATGATTTAAATTTGTAAATGAAAATTTTGCATGCAATAATAATTTAAATTTGGCATTTAATATTTTTTTTTATAAGATAAGGGTGACAAACGAACACACAGTCCACCTGATGGTAAGTGGTTGCTGCGGCCCATAGACATCTACATCTATGCTCGTTTGCGAATCAAAATGCAGATGCGTTGTCACCCGTGAGGACTAAGATGGAATGCCTCATTTCCAGTAAAAAGGGCCTCCGGCCACCTGCACTCACCAAGCGAAACGCAGAGGTAAACCTCTACTTCACGTTGGTATTCTGTGAGGTCGTGGTACCACCCCGGTTCGAGCCGGCCCATCCGTGCGACAGCAAAAGCCGCCGCGTGGCTCTACCACTATTAATTGTTATAGTTATATTAATGGAATTAATTAAATAAACATACTTAAATAATTTAATTAAGAAATTTTGCCTACAGATAGGTATTACATGTCTTTATATAATTTATATAATTTGCCGTGTAGTGGCGGTCAAGAATATCCACTACCCCATATCCTCCCGTGGGTGTCGTAAAAGGCGACAAAGGGAAACAGGCAGGAGATGGGCAGCAGCATCTTCCTGATAATAGCCAAAATAACAATAAAAAAAAACTGCGGTTGCCAACCCGCTCGCCAAGCGTGGCAACTATGGCAAATACCCCTATATATAATATGAATAATATGAATAAATAATATAATAATAATAATAATAATAATAATATGAATAATCGGTGTCATCAAAAGCCAGAGACCATCCAGCACATCACTGGCGGCTGCCAAGTTCTTGCTGGAATCGAGTACACCCAGCGCCACGACAATGTGGCAAAAATTATACATCAAGAACTGGCAGTACAACACGGTCTCTTAAAGGAGACAGAGCCTTACTGGAAGTACAACCCATCCCCGGTACTTGAGAACGATTCGGCCCAACTTTATTGGGACAGGTCGGTTTTAACTGATCGGACAGTTGAGCATAATCGGCCGGATATAATATTAGTAGAAAAAGAGGAGAAGCGGACATGGTTGTTGGATATTGGTATTCCAAATTCGCACAATGTGCAGAAATACACCACTGAAAAGATGGTTAAATACCAGCGGCTGGCTGAAGATATACGACAGTTAAGGCGGCAGCAGCAGGTCCATATTGTCCCGCTGATTCTCTCCACCACGGGAATTGTTCCTAAATCCCTTACTGAGAACTTAGCGAAGCTAGGTATCTCAGTGAGGGTGAGGAACAAAATACAAAAAGCCGTAATCTTGGATACGACAGCGATCGTACGTCGCCACCTCTCAATTTAAGGAATAAAGGGCGGGATCTTGCGATCAGCCGATGCCGCATCTAAAACCCCGAAAAGGAGCGCTAATGAAAGTGAATAATATAATATGAATGTAACAAAGAGACGGCCCCCAGACCCCGGCGGCCCCGCTATTCCTGGCTACGGTGGCGACCATGGTAACGGCGGGGCAGGGGGTGCTAAGAATCTCCGGTGGAGGTTCGGTTGCCACCTTAGACAACTCGACCTGGCAACGTACAACGCACGCACCCTGAGGACTGACGAGTAGATCGTGGAGCTGGAAGAAGAGATAGACAAGTTGCGCTGGCATATTATAGGATTATCCGAAGTCCGAAGAGAGGGGGAGTACACGGTAATCCTCGAATCCGGCAACTTGCTCTATCACCGGGAGGGCGACCATCTGTCCCAAGGAGGTGTCGGATTTATCGTCCACAAGTCTCTCGTTAACAACGTTGTAAAGATCGGGAGTGTGTCGACGAGGGTTGCGTACCTTATACTCAGAATCACCAAACGGTATTCGCTGAAGGTCATACAGGTTTACGCACCAACCTCGGCACACCCCGATGAAGAGGTGGAGGAAATGTATGAGGATATCTCTAGAGCCATGCATTCCTCCAAAACCCAATATACGATGTTAATGGGAGACTTCAATGCAAAACTAGGCACAAGAGAGAACGGTGAGCTGAAAGTAGGGAAATTTGGAATAGGGCAACGGAACCCAAGGGGACAGCAGCTGGCCGACTTCATGGAGAAAGAGGAACTCTTTATGATGAACTCTTTCTTTCAGAAGCGGCCCCACAGGAAGTGGACCTGGTCGAGCCCCGACGGTTCGACAAAAAATGAGATTGACTTCATTATGACGACCAGACGACAACTGTTCAGTGATGTCTCCGTGATCGCGAGGGTGAAAACTGGTTGCGATCACCGAATGGTTAGAGGCACACTGAACCTAAACGTTAAGTTGGAGAGGTCTCGTCTAATGAAGTCAACGCTCCGTCCCCCTCGTGCTCTGTTCCAAAGTCCCGAAACCTTTCAGCTCGAGTTACAAAACCGTTTTCAGTGCCTAGCAGACTGCAATGAAGTGGACGATATGAATGACAAGCTCGTGGAAACTGTCCATGCGGTCGGAGCTAAGTTCTGCAAGACCCGCCACAGAAGAACACAAAAACTCTCCGATCACACTCTTAATCTCATAGCTGTTAGACAGAAGATGAAGCTACATTCTTCAACAGACTTGACAGCATACAGGCATCTGAACAGACAGATCTCCAAATGTATGCGGCGGGACTTACGCAACTTCAATACAGCTCGTATTGAAGAAGCGATCGAGCGGAACCAAGGCTCCAAAGTCTTTGCCAGAGATCTGTCTGCCAGAAAGAGCCACCTGTCAAAGCTGAAGACAAAATGTGGCAGCATCGTTTCCGGGACACCTGAGATTTTGAGTGAGATTGAGAGGTTCTATGGGCTGCTGTACACGTCATCGTTGGTGCCACACGCAAGTGTGAGTAACGATCCAAGAGCGAGTCTTATCCGACACTATTCCGAAGATATCCCGGACGTCAGTCTGAGCGATATTAGAATGGCTCTCCAGCACCTTAAAAACGGTAAGGCCCCAGGCGAGGATGGAATTACAGCGGAGCTTCTGAAAGCGGGTGGAAGATCGGTACTTGAAGTCCTTCAGAGGCTCTTTAATTCCGTCCTCCATGATGGCATTACACCGGAGGCGTGGAGCAGAAGTGCGGTGGTCTTGTTCTTCAAGAAAGGCTGAGCCGCGTCTACGTGCTGTTTTTGAGAGTCATTACGAATCGTCTCGCGCGCAGACTTGACGACTTCCAGCCTCCTGAACAAGCCGGTTTCCGAAAGGGCTTTAGCACCATAGACCACATACATACCCTTCGGCAAATTGTACAGAAGTCCGAAGAGTACAATTTGCCACTATGTCTGGCGTATGTGGACTATGAGAAAGCCTTTGATTCCGTCGAAATTTGGGCGGTGCTGCAGTCCCTTCAGCGGTGCCAAGTTGACTGTCGGTATATCGAAGTGTTGAAGTGCTTGTACAGTAGGGCTACGATGCCTATCCGAGTACAGAACCAGAGTACGAAACCTATCCAATTGCAGAGAGGTGTAAAACAGGGTGACGTCATATCCCCGAAACTCTTCACCGCTGCATTGGAAGACGTTTTCAAGCTTCTGGACTGGAAAGGATACGGTATCAACATCAATGGCGAGTACGGCGAGTAGAGTAATCGACATAGCCCAACGGATTAGTAAGCTGAAGTGGCAGTGGGCCGGCCATATAGCTCGAAGAACCGACAACCGATGGGAAAGAAAGGTTCTCGAGTGGCAGCCTCGTACCGGTAGGCGAAGTGTAGGGCGTCCCCCCACGAGATGGAGTGATGACCTGGTAAGACATGCAGGAAGTCGATGGATGCAGGTGGCTCAGGACCGTGCTTTGTGGCATTCTTTGGGGGAGGCCTATGTTCAGCAGTGTACTTGTGAAGGGCTGTAATGATGAATGATGATATAATTTAAAATAGATAGCAACATCAATGGCGAGTACATCACTCACCTTAGATTTGCCGACGATATAGTCCTTATGGCAGAATCGCTGGAGGACCTAAGCACTATGCTCAATGACCTCGATAGTGTTTCCCAACGGATAGGTCTTAAGATGAACATGGACAAAACAAAGATCATGTTCAATGTCCATGTCACACCTATGCCGGTAGTTGTTGGGAGCACTAAGCTCGAAGTTGTTGACGAGTATGTTTACCTGGGACAAATAGTCCGACTAGGTAAGTCCAACTTCGATCGAGAGGTCAATCGACGGATTCAACTCGGCTGGGCAGCGTTCGGGAAGCTACGACACATCTTCTCGTCAGACATACCTCAAAACCTGAAAACGAAATTGTACAACCAGTGCGTGTTGCCAGTGATGACTTATGGAACTGAGACGTGGTCCTTCACTGCTGGCCGTATGAGGAAGCTCAAGGTCGCTCAGCGAGCTACGGAGAGGGCTATGCTCGGAGTTTCTCTGCGTGATAAACTTAGGAATGAGGATATCCGCAGTAGAACCAGAGTAACCGATATAGCCCAACGGATTAGTAAGCTGAAGTGGCAGTGGGCCGGCCATATAGCTCGAAGAACCGACAACCGATGGGGAAGAAAGGTTCTCGAGTGGCAGTCTCGTACCGGTAGGCGAGTGTAGGGCGTCCCCCCACGAGATGGAGTGATGACCTGGTAAGACATGCAGGAAGTCGATGGATGCAGGTGGCTCAGGACCGTGCTTTGTGGCATTCTTTGGGGGAGGCCTATGTTCAGCAGTGGACTTGTGAAGGGCTGTAATGATGAATGATGATATAATTTAAAATAGATAACAAATATACTATCTTATTATTTATATATTAACTCTGCCAAGGACTTGGCTACCCAAACATCTTCTTCTATTGAGCAGTATATTGACTTGATATGTAATTTGGAATCAGTTCCAAGTAATTTAAATTAAAAATGAGACAATAGAAATTAGCTAGATTAGCTAGAGAAATAATTTCGAATGTAGCTTGCAAATCATTAAACAGCAAAACAATTAATTGTATAACTTCAGAAAATAACAATAAAATTGGCAATGAGCTAGAAATTGAATTGTTCCTTAATAGCAACAATATTCATATTTTATGTATTACCGAACATGCATTATATATATGTATAGGTGATTTTTATCTTTATACCTATTCAAACTTAAATATATAAATTATAATATCGCACTTGGATAATCAAATTTTTATTATATACAATATTAAAAACTATAATAATAAAAAAAACCAAAACTAGAAACTTAATTATCATATAGTCCTACTCCCCGCGGTATCGTGCCAAGAACGCTGGCTGCGTTTCCCCGCTGAATGGCTATACTTAGCCTTTGAGCGAGAAAAGATAGTTATACCGATAGTATTCTGGCAAGCCAGATTAGAACGGCTCTCCACCACATTTAAAATGGCAAGGCCCCGATGGCAAGGTGGGGATGAAATTACTGCGCAGCTTCTGAAAGCGGATGGAAAACCGGTACCTGAAGTCTTTAAAAAGCTCTTTAGGAGGACGGAATCTCCATGGTAACACTACTCCAGAGGCGTGTATCAAAATTGCGGTGGTCTTGTTCTTCAAGAAAAACGACAATGCTCTCTGGAAGAACTACAAATCGATTAACCATCTACGCTGCGTTTACGTGCTGTTTTGGAGAGTCGTTACGAATCGTCTCGCACGTACACTCGACGACTTCCAGCCTCCCGAAGAAGCCAGTTTGCAAAAGGCCTTTAGTAACATAGACCACATACACATCCTTCGGCAAATTGTACAGACAACTAAAGAGTACAATCTGCCACTTAGATTTTATAAGTGTTAGAGCCATGCTGCAGCTTTACTAATAGTATAGTTGTAGCACGAATGGGTCGGCTCGACCGGGGAAGGACCACGCTCTCACAGAATACCAGTGCAAAATAGAAGCTTAATGCTGCTGTGTTTCGTATGGTGATTGTAGAAGAGAAATGGAGACCCTTTTTTCTTACTGGAAAAGAGGCATTCCATCCTATACTCACGGGTGACAATGCATCTGCATTTTGATACTTTATTGATGATAAATGTAGATGTCTATAGGACACAGATACCACTTACCATCAGGTGGACTGTGTGCTCGTTTGTCATTCGATCCTATAAAAAAATGTGTACCCACTACGAGAAAGCCTTTGCTTCCGTCGATATTTGAGCAGTGATCCAGTCCCTTCAGAGGTGCCAAGTTAAATATCGGTATATCGAATTCGATTAAGAATCAGTTTGCCGTGTAGTGGCGGTTAAGAATAACCACTACCCCATATCTTCCCGTGGGTGTCGTAAAAGGCCACAAAGGGAAATAGGCAGGAGATGGGCAGCAGCATCTTCCTGATAACAACAAACCTACAATAATAAAAATGCGGTTACCAATTCGCTCGCCAAGCGTGGAAACTATGGCAAATACCCCCCTATGACGAGAGTAACAAAGAGACGGCCCCTAGTGCCCGGCGGCCTCGCTATTCCTGGCTACGGTGGCAACCATGGTAACGGCGGGGCAGAGGGTGATAAGAATCTCCAGTGGAGGTTCGGTTGCCACCTAAGACGACTCAACCTGGCAACATACAACGCACGCACCCTGAGGACTGATTAGAAGATCGTGGAGCTCGAAGAAGAGATAGACAAGTTACGCTGGCATATTATAGGATTATCTGAAGTCCCAAGAGAGGGGGAGGTCACGCTAATCCTCGAAAGCGGCAACTTGCTCTATCACCGGGAGGGCGACCATCTGTCCCAAGGTGGTGTCGGATTTATCGTCCACAAGTCTCTCGTTAACAACTTTGTAAAGACAATACAGCTTATAATGAATAACAGCTTGTAATGAAGAAGCGATCGAGCGGAACCAAGGCTCCAAAGTCTTTGCCAGAGATATGTCTGCCAGAAAGAGCCATCTGTCAAAGCCGAGTGTGGCAGCATCGTTTCCGGGGCACCTGAGATTTTGAGTGAGATTGAGAGGTTCTATGGGCAGCTGTACACGTCATCGTTGGAGTCACACGCAAGTGAGAGTAACGATCCAAGAGCGAGTCTTATCCAACACTATTCCGAAAATATCCCGGACGTCAGTCTGAGCGAGATTGAAATGACTCTCAGGAACCTTAAAAACGGAGGATGGAATTACAGCGGAGCTTCTGAAAGTGGGTGAAAAACTGGTACTTGAAGTCCTTCAGAAGCTCTTTAATTCCGTCCTCCATGGTGGTATTACACCAGAGGCGTGGAGCGGATGTGCGGTGGTCTTGTTCTTTAAGAAAGGTGACAACGTTCTCTTGAAGAACTACAGACCGATTTACCTTCTGAGCCGCGTCTACGTGCTGTTTTTGAGAGTTATTACGAATCGTCTCGAACGCAGACTTGACGACTTCCAGCCTCCCGAACAAGCCGGTTTCAGAAAGGGCTTTAGCACCATAGACCACATGCATAGCCTTCGGAAAATTATACAGAAGTCCGGAAATACAATTTGCCACTATGTCTGTCGTATGTGGACTATGATAAAGCCTTTGATTCCGTCGAAATTTGGGCGGTGCTGCAGTCCTTTTAGCGGTGCTAAGTTGACTGTCGGTATATCGAAGTGCTGAAGTGCTTGTACAGAGTAGGGCTACAATGGCTATCCGAGTACAGAACCAGAGTACGAAACCAATCCAATTGCAGAGAGGTGTAAGACAGGGTGCGGTTATATTGCCGAAACTCTTCACCACTGCATTGGAAGACGTTTTCAAGCTTCTGGACTGGAAAGGATACGGTATTAACATCAATGGCGAGTGCGTCACTCACTTTCGATTTGCCGACGATATAGTCCTTATGGCAGAATCGCTGAAGGACTTAAGTACCATGCTCAACGACCTCAATAGTGTCTCCATACGAATAGGTCTTAGGATGAACATGGACAAAACAAAGATCATGTTTAATGTCCATGTCACACCTATGCCGGTAGTTGTTGGGAGCACTAAACTCGAAGTTGTTGACAAGTATGTTTACCTGGGACAAATCGACCGAGAGGTCAATAGACGGATTCAACTCGGCTGGGCAGCGTTCGGGAAACTACAACACATCTTCTAAACTCAAAACCTTAAAACTAAATTGTACAACCAGTGCGTGTTGCCAGTGATGGCTTACGGATCTGAGACGTGGTCCTTCACTGCTGGCCGTATGAGTAAGCTCAGGTCGCTCAGCGAGCTATGGGGAGGGCTATACTTGAGGTTTCTCTGCGTGATAAACTTAGAAATGAGGATATACGCAGTAGAATCAGAGTAACCGACATAGCCCAACGGATTAGTAAGCTGAAGTGGCAGTAGGCCGGCCATATAGCTCGAAGAACCGACAACCGATGGATAAGAAAGGTTCTTGAGTGGCAGCCTCGTACCGGTAGGCGAAGTGTAGGGTGACCCCCCACGAGATGGAGTGATAACCTGGTAAGACCATGCAGGAAGTAGATGGATGCAGGTGGCTCAGGACCGTGCTTTGTGGCATTCCTTGGGGGAGGCCTATGTTCAGCAGTAGACTTATGAAAGGCTGTAATGATGATGATATCGAAGTGTTGAAATGTTTGTACAATAGAGCTACAATGGCTATCCGAATACAGAACCAGAGTATTAAAACTGCAGAGAGGTGTAATACAGGTTGAAGTTATATCCCCGAAACTCTTCACCACTGCGTCGAAAGACGTTTTCAAGCTACTGGACTGGAATGAATACGGTATAAACATCAATCGTGAGTACATCACTCACCTTCAATTTGCCAGATACATCTTATGGCTGAATTGCTGAAGGACTTAATCACTTTGCTCAATGACCTTAACTATGCCCCCTAATGGAGAAATCGGCATCGTCAAACCATATGTATTCATTGATTTATTCAAGCTATATCATGACATGGTCAACAAACCATGTTAAATATCATGAAATGACACCATTTTACGTAGATGTAATATATAAATATTTAATTTGTTAGTAACTGAAGGCTAAAATACTAATTTGTCCATTTGATGATAGATGGCGATCTTTTGAAGACAAAAACGTAGATCGTCGTCGTAGATTCAAATTATTGTACAAAGGTTTAAACTTATTTTAAACTTATTTATAAATTTGGTATTTATTTGAAAAAGCGCCCGCCGCCCCGTCTATAACTATTAGAATCATATACTTAGTCGGGTCATAAACTCTGTCAAAACCTTAGTATTTAAAATTTTTGAACACTGGCTAGATAAACTTCACCAATTTTAAAAATATAACATTTACGCTTGCCGAAAATAAAAAAGACTTTAATTTTCATTCATTTTCAAATATGGAGTGGTCGAAAAAATGAGACAGAGTAGCGGTTATCGCCTTGCACCGCTGTGGTTACGCGTCAAAAGAGATTTTCAATATTCTACAAAAATTTCAAATAACCCTACCATTTGTTTATCGCACTATCAAACGATTCTCTGGAAATTCAAGCTCCAAAGATCGTAAGAGGACCGGCAGACCTCGTACAGTTAGGACACCCGTCATCATCAAAGCAGTGAAGGCGCGAATCCAACGAAATCCTGTTCGCAAACAAAAAATTTTAGCTTTTCTGATGGGTTTAAGCAGAACCACGGTCAAAAGAGTGATCAATTAAGACCTAGTACTACGAGCTTATCGTAAGAGGACCGGACATTTTTGAACGAGGGTTTGAAAAAAATTATGTTTGATAGATCCCGCGCTTTGTTACGGCGAAATTTTTTCTTCAGGTGAAATAAATGTTAACATCGATGAAAGTTATAATAAACAAAATGATAAGGTGCATGCCACGAAGTGTATGCGTAATGCGTTCAACGAAGAAGCCAGCACGCGTATTCCGAGGGTTCAACGAGGATATTATCCTAAGTCATTCATTGTTTGGCTTGGAGTCTCATATTATACGTGGTATTCATTTTATACGTGGTAGAGCCATGTTGCAGCTATATTAATTGTATAGTTGTAGCACGAATGGGTTGGCCCGACCGGGGAAGGACCATGCTCCCAAAGAATAGCAGCGTTAAATACCAGCTCAATGCTGCTGTATTTCTTATGGTGAGTGTAGAGAACCGGAGACCCTTTTTACTGGAGAAGAGGCATTCCATCTTAGTCCTCAGGGGTGACAACGCATCTGAATTTTAATTCTTTATTGAGGATAGATGTAGATGTCTATGGGTCATAGCAACCACTTACCATCAGGTGAACTGTGTGCTCGTTTGTCACCCTATGCTATCAAATAAAAAAATCAGGCTTAACTGAGGTGTTTTTCTGTGAAAAAGGTGTAAAACCCAGTGCCGAGGTGTACCACAATACCGTCATAACAAACATAGTGGAACCACTTTTCTCATACAATGTTCAATAACAGACATTGGATATTCCAACAGGAGTTTGCACCAGCTCATAAGGCACGAAGCACGCAAAACTGGTTGACCGCCCGTGGAATTGACTTTATCGGACATGAAGACAGGCCCTCTTCTAGACCAGATTTTAACCTACTGGATTACAAGATATGGAAACATTTGGAGGAGAAAGTCTGCGCTAAGCCTCATCAGTATTTGGAATCTCAACGAGCACCTTTGGCCAAAGCAGCGGCAGAAATAGATATGAACGTGGTGCGTGCTGCGACTGATAATTGGTCGCGTCGATTAAGGGCGTGTATCTAAATAGGAGAGGGCATTTTGATTAATGTAAATAAAATTGTATTCTAAATTAAATTACCATTCATTTCGTATATAATATCTATATATTTATGAAAAAGTTTATCACTAATTTTATAAAAAGTTTTTGACAGAACTTATGTTCTTAGTATAATAGGAAATTAACATTTAAAGGAAGTAAAATATTTAACCTTCTTTTTTTAAGGTTCCGTAATCGGATAAAAGGTAGCCTTTAAGGTATTAACTACCTACATACAAAGATTCATAGAAATAATTTATGTAGTTTTTGCCTGAATCGTTAATACACAAACAGATAGACGTACAGGCAGACATTCAAAAATTCTAAAAACCACTAAATTGGCTTCACAGTACCCTTTATGGAATTATAGATACGACTTTTCTACAGATTTATTATATTATGTATAGATTATTATGCTCTTCAGTCAATCATTAGGTATTTAATTTTTTTATGAGAAACCTGTGCACCGTACCATTTATAAATTCTAGGTCCACTGATTTAACCAGTTAAATTTATTTATCTCTATTTCATCTTTTACCAAATTAACTGGTTTATTTTTTGTAAGCGTTCAAGTACATAATCAATTTTTTTTTGTATTATCCTTAACATACTTTTATTTACTATAAAACATATCTCAATATTGTTTGTAAGTCAGCCAATTCTTTTATTGCAAGTGTAATAGATTTAGAACACAAAGGTTTGGCTAATCAAGGCATTTTTAAAGCTTTTACGTTCAAAAATGTGAAAAGGAGGTCGAGTCATAAACGACTTGGAGATTTGTTGCCTTCGGCGTCAAAAGTGCAGTTTTTAATACTCACTGATTTAAGTGAGTGATAAAAATGGCACTCTTCAGACCTTTATAATTCAAATAGTTTTATAGGTTTCTAGCTATTTAAGGGATGTTTACTAGGGATGCAAAATTATAAGTATATATGTGTGAGTGCTTTTGCTTTATGGAATGTTCAAAAGTAACTCGGAATGGTTCGTGTAATCGTGCATACAATGTCCTAGTATGTGTTAGTGAATACAATGTCCCTTAACAAGAGATATAAGTGAGTGATTTGTGCGTCAGATTTTCCATAATGTAATATTTACTCAAATTTTATTTCACATTCGTATAATAATTAATCAGATAAAGTGTATTTTAACACGTTATGCAATTATTGTATATAGTATTAAGACATTCATGAGGGCAAGGAAAATTAAGCTGGAAAGGTAAACTTTATTTTAATACATTCTCAATAAAGATAACGTGGTCTTAGCTATATATTCTCGAGTCACTGCCGGAGGTTAATGGGCGGCATACAATAACTTCCAACTGAGATAATCTTCTGTGCTAATAAAGTGGCCATGGGATCCTTTTAGGACTAATACTATATTCTATCTTAATAGTGTGCAAAGGTTATATAGTATTAGGCGCGAGGGTTGTGCTGTTAAATTTGAGTGTTATGAAGTCTGTGGTCACCAAATTATATTTAACGCGTACAGCAAAGTTATAACATATAATAAGCAGATATATTTTTTGGTATACAAGTTTATTAGACTTATTTACACTCATTTTGTCACGGGTCTTCGGTGAAAACCTTTTATTAATAAAAAAAACACTCAAAATTTAATAATATTACTGTGAAAATGCAGCAGAGTTACCTGTTGTTTTATTGCTAATATTAGACTCAAATAAAAAAAATATCTACCCAATTCTGGGGCTTATAATGTTATGAATACATTACTAGATTTTTTATATTTTAACGATAACTATTTATCAATGGATTTAGTCATTACCAGAATAATAGTTAGAACCTTAATTAATAAAATAATTAGATATTCCATAAATTGTACAAATAATATTGAAAGTTTATTTTTAATCGCATAATAGTTATTCTGGAATACAAATACTTCTCCATTTTCGTGAATATGCATACAGAAGTGTATACAACGCTATGTTACGGTCCCAAGTGTGTGGAGAGCCAGTACAATTAATTACAGGTTGGTTAGGCCTTTAATCTTAGTCCTCAAAAGGGTGACAATCCATATCTAACCTCGTTTGTTTGGAAATTGTTTGCAAGTGTCTTCTACAGTTGCCACTTACGTCTGCGGCAGCTTAGGGAGAGTTGAAGTAGAAGGAGACGAAGACTTTTTCATATATTACTTTTATTTTCTAACTTACAAGTAAACTTAACTACTGTGACGGTGTGAGTACACATGAATACTAGACTAAAGTAACTTACAAACTATGTTAACTACTACTGGGCTATCTTGACAATTAGACCCTGGGTTTTATACTATATTGAATTTTCTTAAGTCACGTAAAAGACGTGCTGTTATTTGCTTTAACAGACGGTGCTGTATTGTAGGTGACTTTCTGATGCTATATAAGATTCCGGTAATATGTAACACGCCTCTTTAAATTTCCAAAAATAAATGTTTATCTAAATAATAAACACAAAATAACGGAAACATATTTTTCCACATCTCTACTGGAAAAATAAAAGAACGATAAAGCAAACTTCGTAAAAACCACTCAAGTGTTATATCAAGGCCTTATCTATTAAATAAAGATAGCTATTGATATAAAATGAGTTATGATAAACGAAAATCCAGAATTATATTTACTCACATTTTTCTTAGCATAAAAGGTTTTTATGTAAGGGTAGGGATAAAAATTACGTGTTTTAAAGGTCGTTTCAGACCTCTTGAAATTTCACCTGGAATGACATGTCGTCGTTTTCGCTTAAAAATGTGACGGTAACGGCAGGGTGCGGATTGCGAACTCAAAATTCGTGAGTTCAAATCTGTCGTTGACTACTGTCGTGAAACAACCCTTTTAAGCTTACCTAGAGCGGTTAACAGAAATCAAAGGGATATTACTATCATCATCGTTACAGTTCATTACAAGTCTATTTCTGAACATAGACCATATCCAAGGAATGCCAAAAAGCACAGTCTTGAGCCACCTGCATCTATCGACTTCCTGCATTTCTGACCAGGTCGTTACTCCATCTTGTGGGGAGCCACCATGCACTTCAGTTACCGTAACCGGGGTGCCACTCCAGAACCATCTTCCCCATAAATTGTTGATTGTTCGAAATAAAAATGTATAAAATACATTGTATATTAAAATATAAATGCATTTTACTTATGTATTTGAATATAAAAAACGATGCAGCTTTATTATAACTGTAGAACAAATGGCGTGACTTGGAAAGGACTATGCTTTCATTCCGTGATATAACATAATAATATCTCAGTGTTTCGTATTTCAAGCGACGCAAAACTGGAGAACCTTTTTACTAGAATCTTTTATCTTACTCTCTTAGAAGAATAACGCATTAATAACTATTTTGATTCTTGAGGATAGTGTAGTTGCCTATGGGTTACAGCAGTCCCTTGCCATATGATGGCTGTGTGCTCACTTGTCAAAACTTGTCACTTGTAGTTGTAAAAAATTCCAGGCTCGAGATCCAACTACTTGTGTTGATACTCCATAACCATTAGCAGTGAAAGTGCTGGACATGAGTCTCTCCCGTTGTATGGAGGATTTGCCTAGAACTTAACGCCTACCAGACGTCACGCATCTTGGAACTTGCTCCTGTGCGGTCTGGTTTTACATCTGACGTATACCGCCACCTATCGGACTTGTCTCGCATTTAATATAGTTGCATCAACACGTAGTGATTTATTCTCTTTTGTTTCATCTTACGACACCCGTGAATTATTTTACGCCGCCACCACAAGGTACTTGCTGCGTCGAATGTTTTCCTATAAATTTACTGCTACATTCCTGCCCGAGCTCAGTGGTTGGATACTCACATGCAACTGCTAATCGTGATTACCTCAAGTTAATATCTATAAAATTAACAAAATCCTATTTTAATATTAAACAACAGCCACAGCTACATTTTTAACCTTTTAAAAGATTCTAAGGTGCAAAATAACTGTTAAGTAACGGTTAAATTAAAAAAAAATCCTTCGTTATCTTTGGATTGACCTGATATATTTATACTAGCGATCCTCCCAGCTTCAACCGAGTGATTTCTGGATCTCAACAAAAGTGCCAGATACCAAGCCCAACTATAGTTAAAGCCATTCAAGGAACCCCGTATGTAGCCCATCAAAAATTCAAAACCGGTCAAGTCGTATAGAAGGAGAAGAGTTACGAACCCACGCATGCCGTAATTTTATATTTGTAGATATTATGGAACTACTCTTTTTTCACTATTCAAAATAATAATAATGCGGCAGCCAAAATAGCTCTTATATAATGTCACAGTCTTTATATTCCAAAAGCCTACAAAATGAAACCTACATTTTCCTGAAAGTATTAACATATAACAAATAATTACTTCTTTTTTCGTTAGAGTTAATATTAATACTACCCAAAAAAAATTCTCTGCGTCTAATTACTGTTAATATTTATTTAAAATATTTACTCTGTGAATTAAAAAATTTAAACAGTGTAGATATAAAATTTATCAATAATTTGATTACAGCGCTACCTATCCTGTCCAAATTTGATTATTTTGTTTTTACACTCAACTAATATATAATTCATATATATAGAATTTGTTAGATATGAAACATTGTCACTTCAAAACAAATAAATTGAATAAATATAATAGCAATCGGTCAAGTTGCTCAAAGTTACACGATCACTAACAGACCCACTAACGATTATAACATCTAAGAAATAACTTTTTAAATTTCGATTTAGCTTCTAGTGGCCACAGCTCCATATAGGTATCGGGCCAGTTGTTAGGTTGGTTAGTAAGTTGAAGACCCAACTTAAATCGCGATATTGCTTTTAAGAGAGAAAATTCCGGTTTTAGTTATTGGTAATCTGTCATTATATAAAAGTTTTCTTTGCAGATAAATTTTATTTTAGTTTGAAGTATGTACTGATAAATTTATTCTAATCTTGTTTTTCTGTGTTGATAGTCTTTATTACCAATACCTGGGAATTGGGTTCGGAATTCTCAAATGATCGTTT